ATTAGTGGCTTTAAACAGCAATTTTCAGTATTTGTGAACAAAAATTTATAGACAATTTTGATACATTTAACGTGTTAGTAATTTTTGGATCGAAGAAAATCAATAACCAAAATAAATTGATAGATAAATAATGTTCCTATTATAACATTAATGGATTGAAAACCTGTAAGATATTTTTTATAAACTCTTTGTTAATCAATTTTCACTAGATACATTATTAGTACTAAAGTTAAACAAATTCAGGGAAAATTAAGCTATTTGTTTTTGTAATCGTCAGTCAATTAAGTTTCAAACATTTTTAGTGACCAACAAGTTTTGAAGGCTTTGAACACCCTGAAAGATTAATATGTTGTGCTTCCAACTGATAAATCATCGAACAATAATATATGATAATTCCGCTAACACCTCCATCATTAACCCAATATTTAACTTGAATATTTGGATTTAAATAAAGGCAACAGTAGTATACCGCTGTTCGAAATTCATGAATCGATTGAGAAAAAAACAAATCCGGGTTACAAAATAAAACTGAGGGAAATACATCAACTATAAGAGAACAACGACACAACAGAAACATTAAACATTAAAAGTTTGCAACAAAATCAGACATTTGGATAGCGGTCAAATTGATTTCTCGAGAAGACTCAATGTAAAGGGAGGGATAGAACTGAATTTTAGTATAGGCTTACACTTCATAAATTCGAGGCATATAGATTTTAAATGTGTATACAACAAAAACGGGCTTTAGAGTTATCATGATACCACTTACTCTAGGGACGATTAAAGTCAAAAAGTTCAAAATATCTGTAAGAGTCGTTGCAATCTAAGCAAGCATTGTACTTCTCTTCGTGTAGTAATATAGAAACATCTAACTTCTCTGCTTTTTACAAAAGTAAGTTCAAACCAGTAATTGGGTTTACTAAGAGACAAAACAGTCAGGTGCTGACTTATCTATCACCAATATAAATGTGTTAAATAACAGAAAATACAAAATGAAATACAACTTTACAATGTGTCAAACAATTATTAAAGTTAATAAATTATCTGCTCTGTAGCAATGCAATACTCCAATATGAAAATAGTTAAATTTCTACTTATCTTGGTTAAACAGTTAAATATATAACAGTCAGTTTGAAGGCATCACCTATGATATTTCAAATGTTACTCACGGTGTGGTTAGCCAGATTGAATCCCGCGGCACTCCTTTCTCAAGTGATTTGACGTGGCAAAGGTCGATTTACAAAAGACGGATACGAGGCTACAGTAACAATACAATGTTTTACTGTGATGTCCAGATTCGACCCCGGATACACAAGATATGTAGACAAATTTTAAAATAGATCTGATGCAAGACACTCATTCTAAACATAAAGTCAGACTGATTGGATTAGTCATACTTTGTTACATAAAACAGAATGGCCACCGAAGAGGGTGGGATAAATCATATGTTGAAAAAAAAATTGCAACAGACAATCTACATTCCCAAGGAAAACAACTGTTTCCCTCTGCTTAACGACTTGTTCCTATATTCTTATGAGGCAGACTTCATACAGGAGCCTAAATAAAAAAAACATACACTGACATTAACCGTTAACTTCACGTTCAGCTGTATAGATGATTTCCCTTTACTGAAGAATTCAAAGTTTGATGACTATGTTGAATTTATCTGTCTTAATGACCTCGAAATAAAGGTAATCACAGATACAGTCAAGTCTCCACATCCGCACTAATATCTAAATATTGACAATGGGGGTTGGGTCGGTTGAGAGCTAAATTTGACGACAAAAATGATGTTTTAAACTTTCCCATAATACAATTTCAAAATTTGTTTAGCAAAATTACAGCAGCACATGCATATGGAGTATATACTTCAATGTGATATTCAAGGGTTTTCTTTTCCTATTATGATTTTCATGTCAGATGATTACTATTCACAACAAAGCTATTAAACCAAAGGTTCTAAATGGAAATTAACTTGAATTCTGAGATACCACTAAAAGTTTCACGGACTTCTCATTTGGCAGACCGTAATTGAATATCTGATGTGTCACAAGTGACCGAAGTTATATTATAGGGTAGAACTTTACAACCTATTCTAGGAAAGAAGTATCAGATCATGTTCAAGTGTAGAACTTTCAGAATTTATTCTAAGGTAGAACTGTCAGAATCTGTTCTAGGGTAGAACTATCCAAATCTGTTTTACAGTAGCTCCTGGCAACCGTGAGAATCATTTAAATCTTTGACAACAAATTATTTAGTATTGTCTCACTTGTAGCTGTGATTTTTATCTGTGATATTTTCGAGAAAATATAATTTTTGCAGCTGTTTGTTACTGTGCGTTTTTCTCAGTACTTTTGGCTTTCTCCCTGATTGAGATAAAGGATGTAGATAAGGGGTTGGGAATAAGTAACCATGGTAATTTAAGCCCACGTGCACTATAAAAGTCATAAACCATACCAGTTATTTATATTTTAAATGGTTTGGTCCATTACAAAAAATTGGTTGAAGCAGATCTTTTCTAATCATTTTTTTTTCCAGAATTTGGCGGTTATGAGCTTGTCACTTGGTAAATGACTCGCGGTCCTATATATTGAAGAAGACCTTTAGATGTCTATGTAGTTGCTCCATCATTGGTGTATACCACACATCACCTATTATACATTAAAGGAATATTCAGATGAATTAACAGAATAAGCAAACATTGAATAACAGATTTGTAAACTTGGTCCATACGGAAAAACACAAAAAACACAGCAAAAACAGTATGACTCAATTCTATAAACAATGATGTTGGTTTGAATATTGTCACAACGGCCACTCATCGTCTCTGTAGAAATAATCGTTTTAAAACAGAATTTAAAGGTTATAATTAACCAAATTCCTTTTTTTCTGTGCTTATTTTTCACTGAAATTTAGGCTTTCAAGAAATACCCTTACTTTCGGTGTTAAACCGGAAAAAGGATAAATATTACAGTTACATTAATGTATGAGTAAAGTAGATCAAAGAAAATAAGAAAATGTAACGGTGCTCATCTAATATAATGATACCTTGTTATTGTAGACAGTTATCTTCACGAGGTCGTGTACAGGTACGTGACACACATGTACATGCATACTAAAACTAATGTTATCTTTATAGTAACAAAGTGCTTATTTTGTAGGATTATTGATTTCGGAACGTAAGTAAATACATGGATTTACCAAGTTTGATTTACAGTGTAATACGTAAAACTGAATTCCCTAGAAATTGTTTTGTCTGTAGTACATGTACCTGTAGTACAAGTGTCTTAATTTAGAGTATTGTTTCTGATTAAATAAGTCTGGTTACTGTTTCCCTTTGTTTAAATATGTTAAAATTGAGATACTTGATTCATCATAGCATTGTAGGATTGCCTACCTATCACAACATAAAATATAAAATATCCATAAATTGTAATCATATAATAACGTACAAAGAACCGATACGAAAGACACGCCGATTTATTATATGAAAACATAGTATAGTGATATAAGGTATAACAGAATTTGATTGCTAAGATATTTAAATTCGGTCTACTTTAAATATACAGTGATAAGTTTCAAGGATTAGAGAAGGGTCACTCTTTCTGAAAACAATCGCATCTCCTTATATTCATATATCTACAACGACATTTTCAGAAGAGAGTCTTTGTTTTTGTAAATAGTTTAACACGCTACAATTAAAAAGATGTATTTATTTTGTTTTGATAAAGAATTACCATCAAACCATTTCTCAACTTTTTTCTCCTTAAATGTTAAATATTAACCTAATTTGATATAGATATTGCATCATTGACATTATACTGTTGTGACACTTCTTACCAAAATTTGAGAAATTCTATTGTACTCCCTCCATTTTGATTGTTCCTTGTTGAAGATCTCGGCAGTCATAAAAACAGTCATAAATAAAGGCAACAGTAGTATACCGCTGTTCAATAGTCATAATTCGATTAAGCAAAAACAAATCCGGGTAACAAACTAAACCCGAGGGAAACACATCAACTATAAGAGGAAAACAACGGAACAACAGAAACACTAAACTACAACAAAAGCAAACGCCAACATACATAAAAACGGACTGTGTGAAAACAACTGCCATTTTCCTGACTTGGTACCGGACATTTTAAGAAAAAATGTCGGGTTGAACCTGGTTTTATGGCTAGCCAAACCTCCCGCTTATATGACAATGTTAGAAATACAGCTAAAATGAGAACACTACGTGACAGGAATACCGTACAAACAAACGCAAGAACACTCAGCACAGAGAAATACATAAATAAATAATATAATACTACATAACAACGACAAAAACGACACCGAACATATCAGATACTAAAACCAACCCAACAACCGCCAAACACAGGAAGGAGGGGGGGGGGGGAGTGACATTGGGTTCTCTTGATGATGCACAGTTCATATTTCACTAGTGACTTTGTCGTCTTGCTCAACACATTCAAAAATCCTATGACAAGTTGCATTAGCTGGTGTTATACATGAAAACAGTATGGCGAAAAAATGGGCACAACAAATTGTTTACTATAAATTCTAAACGTCAAATTGGACATGTTCGTGCTTTTATCAATTCAGTGCTTTGAGTCAAAATAATGTGTCCATATAAGGTTACACGTCTTCTTATGAACTGTTACCTTGTGATCTAGCAAGTAAAATCTGACTAAATATGTAGGTCTAGTACAAAGAAATGTATACTTATGTGACATTAATATGCAATGAATATGCATTTTATGTCGTCTTGTGGACTTTAAAAGAAATGGCATCCCCATTAACATCTTATTGTTACGTCATCAGTTTAGTAGTCAGTGTATTAGTACTTTCATGATTTTTAACATGATTTTTCTTTAATTTTTCGCTGATGAATTAATAAATATATTTAAAAAGTAAGGTTCCAAGCCCCAATAGCAAAGTTTACCTCGCATACATTTGGCTATTTTTATTAGGTCTCTTTTGCTTACATATGAAAATAAGAAAATGTGGTAAGATTGCCAAAGAGACAACTCTCTACAAGAGATCAAATGACACAGACATTACCTCCTCTTTGTTTCCATGTTTTTGTACACCTTTGACTTTCCAACATTTGGTTTTGAGCATTCCTGATGAAGGTAAATATAGAAAGCGCTTCGAGTGAGTCTTATTTTCGTTTCCAAATTTTCAGTGTTCCTGGTCGAAAATTACATAAGTACATAGGATGCATCTGCAGGCATTGAAAATGTGCTATACTTCAGTCTAAAGCCCACGTATGAAAAAAAAAATGAATTACTGATAATTTCATGTGAATTCTTTTTATATCACGAAGCAATTGACAGACTTAAAACATATAAAATGAACAAATCTCAAAGTTTACAGAAGAGATAATCGGTTCTTGGGAAAGACAAACCTACTCAAGGGCGCACAAATACAAAAACCGAAAATTGTATTTTGTTATGTTTACGTGTTACTGCTTTAGGTTACATACCGGCATGGTAACGATAGCAAAGGGTTTGCAATCGAGAATCACATTAGCTGATGGTAATTCAATGCCAATGTTTGGCCTTGGGATGTTTGAATCAAGTGGTATCAAGGCCGAGAAAGCGGTAGAATATGCCTTGTCACAAGAGTACAGATTGATTGATACAGCTGAATTCCATGGGTTTGTATCCATTAATTACTCAACACAAATTCATTTATAGAACAGACTTTCATATTTTGGAGAAAACAACAATAACAACAACACAAATAACATTGACCAGTTTGAAAATACAAATTAAAGACAGTTGAAAATTGGTGATATAAAATAAAAGGAGGTGTAAGACATGGTCAGCAACCCAAAAACGACACAAAAGTCAAAATTATAAGCAACAGTAAATTACCGATGACCAAATTCCGTAAAACATTTAGAACATGCAAATCAAAAATTAAAAACAAAACTTAAATGAATTGCATGAACTCCAATTGGTGCGTGACTGCGTAAGATGTCTGTTTTGAGAAAAGACGCAGATGCATCGTAGAGGTTAACCAAATTTTACAGGTCGTAAGTCCTCATGAACCTGCTGCAGCAGCCTTTGCGTCAGAAGCACATCCCTGTCAAGGAAACACTCGCGTAATGTAAGCATTGAATATCATATGAACGCTATGCGATGAGACAGAGAAAATATTACTTCTGAGAGATGGGAAGTTGGAAGTGATAATGGGGAAAGCTTAAATCATCCTTTTTTTTACCATAGATCCTAGTTGGAAGTCTTCTATCCGTGCCAATATATAGAAAATGATACACATATTAAGTATACATTGTAGTTTTGGTAGTATTCTTAATTCCAAGCTCACTAGAATATATGAGATGCAAGCAATCACCGAATTATAGTTTATTAAGTCATCATCATCAATATATCTGAAATTGATATTACAGAACTTGGCAAGATGCTTTTTCTTCTTATCTTTTAGAAGGTTTTAAGAATTCATATGAGTGTAATAAGCAGTTGGTTGGTAGGTGAGCACAATAAGTACCTATTAGAATATCGTCTGTTTTTTTTTTTAAATTGAATCCACTAAACTTGACAAACTTATGCTGTCGATCAAAATGGCCACCTTTTAATGTTATGGTTTTTGGTGTATGCGTTTCTGGAATCAGTGTGGTACTTCCCACAGTAAGATTTTTGAAACTTAAAACAAGAATTTCAGAATTTTGTAGAAAAAGGCCTGTTAAATGAGAAGATGCATATATAAAAATAAGTACATACGGTATAATTGCCAATGAAATAACTCTCCACCAGAGACCAAATGAAATAGGCGTTAAAAACTATACAGTCTATTTCTATAAATGAGTATGGTGAATAGTCATGTAGCATGAAGAAAACTCCAAAGTTTTGATATACTAGTAATTGTAAAATTGTAATGATTATGATTGAAGATTTAAGAGTAGGCTTAGATCTTTAAAATTTCTAAGAATAAACATCTGTTTGACAACAAGGTTATAAAAAATAAGACATTTATCTATAACATATACGGAACTTAAAAATGCCATGCGTTGTAACATTATCCTGTAAGTATACCAAAGTTTTTGACTGGGAAAAAGTTCCAACTACTAGTATCTACCGAAGGACAGTAGCTATACACCAAATAATGGTCAAATAAAAAAGTTTATAATAAGGTTCCTGAAATGAAAGGGACTCTAAACAGTAACTTTAGAATAGTATAATCATTGTCAGGGTTTGAAGAAATAGAAAGTCATTTTGGACTTCATGCTTTATATGATTAATATGTATTGGGCATTCATCGGGTTTTGTTTACAAGAACGCACATGGAGAAGATTTATACAGAAATAAAACAAATGTATTTAATAGTCTTTTTTACAGTTCAGCGCTATTATGATTTTTAGGATCGAAGAAGATATTGGAAGAGGTATCGAGAAGTCTGGTGTAAACAGAAAAGAAATATTTGTTGTGAACAAGCTGTGGGAAAATGGTTACGATCGATGTAAACAAGTGTTCATGGAAAGCTTACGGAAGTAATTTAATTTTTGTTTAAAAAATATCTTGTCACTTTAATTTCAGTTTGAATACTGCACTTTGGAAATATTAATTCATACGTCTCCGTTGAAATTTTGGACAAGTTTAACGTATGAAGATATGCGGACTAAGACATGCTACTTTCACAGTAATATATCGAAGTCCTAAGTTGGGTTATTGACAAGTAAAATAACATAAATACCGAACTCCAAGGAAACTTCAAAACGTAAGATTGAAGATTGAAGATTGAAGAGGTCCTTATTTGCAACATTCCATAAATTTATCTTACACTTAGGATAACAAAATGGGTGTCTCTGGACCTTCTTATCTTATAAAAAAGTACTTAACAAAAATACCAAACTCCAAGGTAAATTAAAAAAGTGAAAATCCATAAAAACTGACGAAATCAAACGAGTTCTCATCCGGTTTTGTAGTCGATCATGTGTTCGCAATCTTTAATAGTATCTACTGTGCTTCGTGTGACTGTAGTATGTCTTTTCGTCCCTTTATTGTTTTTTTCTATGCATGTAAACCTTTCGATTGCAGGGGTTTCATTGAGATTTGTTATTGATAAATCAAAATGAGACTTTAAAATGGAACAAAACATCGCACCTAACTGCAAGTTCAAGATGACTTTTAACACCGTTGCACTAGATATCGGTTATGAAATAACCAAAAGTCCCTATATCAATTAAATGAATACCTAGTTAAATGGGTAGGACATTACAAAATTCATCATTTAAGTTAACATATTTTTTTTGTAGAATGAAACTGAATTACATAGATTTGTATTGTATTCATAATCCTGCAAAGGGAAACAATGTGGAAACCTATAAGGCGATGATAGAACTACAGGAACAGGGGATAATAAAGTAAGTAATTACAAGCTTTCTAAAAGTGCTTGTTTATAAAATATTAATATACAAAATATATCTCAGACAAAAAATAATCATCGTTCTGTCAGTTTGTTCAGGGAAAACAATTTAATTATCAAAAACCGCAACTTCTACAAAACTTTTTTTACTGTAATTATTAGATCGAAGAATGACAGTTTTTCGTCAGTTATATATAATCGTATAAGAAAGGATATTGTGTCAAAATTATAATACGGACATTATTTATCTAATTTCAGAATGAAAAAAATGTGAACATTTTTCAATTAGCAAAAGTAATGGAAAATATTGATAGCTTTTACTTGCTTGTTTTAAAATACGACCATTTAAAAATATTGGTAGGTGTTGAAAAAGATGTGTCTGAATTTCCAGAATTGCTTGGAAAGAAATAAATGAAACTTTTAATACTTTTGTTGTGCTGTTACACCAATGTCCCAGATTGGCGGGAGGGTTGAGCGCTCTAATATAGGTTTTACACTTCATATACAAATAATGAGATGTGTTTTAATTCCTTATAAGACAAATATCTACCATAGACAAAATGCACATGATTTGGAAACTTTAAAAAGGGCCCGGGTAAAAAAAGTGTTTGAAATTCATAAGAGAAAACTAGCAGCATGATTTAAGGTAAAAACATAAATAAAAAGACAACCACTGGACTACAGGTCGTTAGTTTATTATACTTATAAATTGACATTTGAAATTCACGAAAGTCATCAAAGATACCAGGAAATTAGACAAACCTAGTTGAGGCCATTTATGCACGAGGATAGAAAAAACCTTTGTGTTTTGAATTATTTTTAACATTTAATGAATAATAAATTGACTAAAAACTTATGATGTAATGTTCATATATTTCGAACTAATAATATATATAGACATGTCAAACATGCAAAAACAATCTATAATAAATAAAAATATATAGGTCTTTAGGTGTCAGTAACTTTGGTGTTCATCATCTAGAAGCATTTAAATCTGCCGGACTTCCAAAGCCAGTGATCAATCAGATAGAGCTCCATCCATGGCAACAAAAAACTGAAATTGTCAACTATTGTCGTACTAATGGTATTGCATTGATGGGATACTCACCTCTATGCAAAGGCAGAAAATTCAACAATAAGCTATTGATAGATATTGCAGACAGGTTAGTTTGGAATAGTATTACAGCTTGTTTGGATGAACTGTATCAGACATATATTCTTTGTCTTCCTATGCTCCTTATAATGTGTTAGCTTGCTGTTTTATTGGTGTATATTCAAAATCTTCTTTTATCTTTTATTTATATATATATTTTACCTTGCAAAGTAATAGATCGGATCAGATCTTGGTCAAATAAAGCGGTATGTCACAATATAAAAAATGTATCGAAAAAGTACTGTCAGACTTATGGAATATAAAAACCCTTCATCTAACTTACGCGAAATGTTCTTAAGTGAAACATGTTTTATATAAGAAATGTTCACATTGTTTGCTGATGATTGCTGATGATTGCTTATGAGTTATGTTCTTTTATAGATATAAGAGGTCTGCACCTCAAATTTTAATTCGATGGAGTGTTCAGCATGGTTTCGTTACAATACCAAAATCCTCTGATCAAAGACATATAGATGCAAATGCAAATGTGTTCGATTGGTCTTTAAAGGAAGAAGATATAGAACTGATGGTGAGATAAAATATAAATAAGAAGATGTGGTATAAGTGCCAATGAGACAACTATCCATCTAAGTCACAATGTGTAAAAAGTAAATAATTTTCAGGTCAAGGTACGGCCTTCAACACGAAGCCTTGGCTCACACCGAACAGCAAACTATAAAGGGCCACAATAAGACTAGTGTAAAACAATTCAAACAGAAAAACCAACAGTCTAATCTATATACAAAATGAAAAACGAGAAACACTTATGAACCACACCAACAAACGACAACCGCTAAAAAAGAGGCTCCTTACTTAGGACAGGTGCATATAAATGTTGCGAGTTTAAACGTTTTAACAGGCGCCAACCTTCACCCTAACCTGAAACAGTGGTATAACATTACAACATAAAAAGACACACAATAAAATATCAATTGAAATGGCTTAACTCGATCAAAAAGACAATACACAAAAAAATAAGTAAATATACACTGAACGAATAAGTTTGATCTATGACACAATATAAATAAAAAAGATGTTTCAATGTCAAAAAGACAACTTTAACCTAGGACAAAATGGCGTTAAATAAAGTAACGTACACAGGTAAATTTAAATATAAAACTTTTGTTGTTAGGATTACAGAAACATTTTTTACAAGATAAATTTGTTATTCATAGTACGAGTATACAGAAGTAAATTTTTTTTTTCGATATACTAAATACTTGAAGGTGGTACATATTAAAAATAGTATGACGAGATATAACACAAAATAGGTAAACATTGAATAACAGAAATGCATTACAAATTGTGTCAACAGGTCAAATTAACACGAAAGTACGATTTGAGAGTACTCGCAGTTACTGAAAGCTAGTTAAAAGCTAAAAACAATTAATTATAAAAAATCATGCATCACAGACTAAAATCAGTTAAAACACATCCCAGGCAGGGATTTAGTGTTTTAACGCCATGGACGGTCAAAGAAAACCTGACTTGTGCAATGCCAAAATAAAAGTAACGACAGGCAGTAGGATAGTTAGGATTTAACCTTATAATAAATATGTATGATGTTATGTATAGATAAAACAATTTCTAAATAGAAAATAAACGTGGATGTGTATATATACATCCAAAAAAAAAACATTCAAAAAGAATACAAATTTAGTTATGTTTTAATTTGTTGATGACAAAATCTATGTTAGTGCCAATGAACACAATATTCAAAGATCTTATCACAACATTAATAAGATAACCTTTACTAATAAGTTTGTTTAAAGGTTCGATAAGTTTACACGGATCACATAGTGATTTCCGCGCTTTTAGTACAATATTAGTGTAAAATTTAGGATGTGAAATACCATTTTTAATGCGTTTTCTACAGGTACAGCCAAATTTACTAATCAAACCTTTGTATCTATGAAAGAATTTAGTAAATGTTTTAAGTAATTTATGGTAACGAACTCCCTGACTTAATAATTTACCAGTGATACATTGATTACGTTCATTAAAATCTATGACATCACTACACATACTTGCATCATGAACGAGTTGGGATATATAAACACCGTATGATGGAGCCAAAGGAAAATCGCCGTCTAAAAAAGGAAAATTAGTAATAGGGAATGAAAAATCGTCTCTTTTATCGTAAATTTTTGTATGGAGTTTCCCTTTAGAAATTGAAATGTCTAAATCTAGAAAGGGACAACTATTGCTGTTTATGTTAGATGTATTTAAAGTAAGTTCCTTTGGGTAAATTTAGGTAGTATATTTAGAGAATTCTGGATTATTTAATGAAAAAATATCATCAAGATAACGGTAGGTATTGTTGAATGTGTCAACTGAATGTAACAATTACGTGTCTTAACTGATTTTGGCTATAAACTGTGATTCATAGCAATATAGGAATAAATCTGCTATTAAAGGGGCGCAATTAGTGCCCATAGGAATACCTACTACCTGTCGATACACTTCATAAGAGATGTTCTGTGCATGTAAAGATAAGGAGATGTGATACAAAGCCAATGAGACGATTTTTTCTATAGATCAACGTACAAAGATGTGAACACTAACATGTACGGCTTTCAACAATGAGCAAACCCCATGCCGTATTGTAAGCTTTAAAAGACCCCAGTTTGACAAAATATTCAACGATTCATCAGAAAAAAACTTATATATTCTACAATAATGAACAAAGAACAAATATGCCTGACAACAATCAAGGACAACCACTGGATTACAGGTTGCTAGGTTCAGACAGGAACATAAAGAATGTTGCGGGCGGGGTTTAACATGTTTGTTAGCGCTCAATCATCTCCCTAACCTAAGACAGTAATGTAATAGTACAAAAAGTAAATATCAGTTGGAATGGGTTAACTCATCAAATCGGTCCTTTTTGTTTTGTTTAATCGGCTGTTCAATTTTGAATAAATTTGGATTTTCAAATATTTTGGCGTCGATCATCACTAAAGAAACAAAGTCGAATTGCGTGTCGTTGTTCAGTAAAATTGGTACAGTAAACGTTAGTGGCACAAAAACAGAAAACAAAAAGACAAAACAAATAAAGTAACTATCTTAATTAGCAATACTGACAGCATGTTCAAAGCACAATTTCAACTAATAAATAAACCATGTTATCCCAGACTCATATGTCAATCAGTACATGTGCGATCTTTAAAATAAAGACGTAACAAACAGTCTGAATAATAAAGCATGACCAGGTCAATGCCAAAATATTTTACGTTTGACCACGAAAAAAAGTAAAACTGCTTGCTTCTACTGCAGTAATTACAGTATAGCAGTTTGGGTGTCGCTATATACTTCAGTGCTATTCTTAATAATTAGAATTCTGAAAGAAAAGACTATATATATATAATGACAAACTCCTTTTAAGATAACGGTACTCCTGCTTCTTCAGTTCACGAGGCCAAGATACAAACTTTTAATTATTTTTCTTATATCTGGACCAGAAGTTTTAAAATATATATTCAGAACCCATATATTGTAAATATCTGTTTTTATTTCCATATGAAATAAGCTTATCTTTAACCCAGCACGACGAATAAACTACGCGAATATGATCGGGTTTATCAATATCGATATATCAGTATAGAAACACTTTCCTTTTAGAATTGATTAATAGTCTTTATGCCGCCGCTGGTTGATTATCAATTCCCGAGGGTCACCAGATAAGAAGTCAGTACTGACATGTTTTATAACAAACCTTTCTAATATTGTCCAAAAATTGTCCTTTTATAGATTTAAAAAATATAAAGAAACAAAGGTTTCAACTCCCTCAGGCAATTTGACGGTAGATGGATTTGGCTGATTTTTTAGGTCCTTTTTGGTTTTGGTCATATAGCTCTGTAAAGTTCTTAAACATTCTTGGCTTTTAAAAATTCGGCTGTGAGCATTTCCCGATGAAGCTTAATCCAGAAAAGCGCTTCGAACGCAATAAATTTATAAAGTGTTGTTTTTCATTTTATAGGCGTATATGATGCTGTTTATGATTAATCATGCAAAATATCAATATAATAAAATCATTTGACGTAGCATTTGGACTGCTCAAAAACGAAGAGTAGAAACATGAAATATGCCAAATGGTTAAAGCATAAATTTTCCTCTTAATCTTTCATATATTGTAGAATACATTTCCAGATGAATATTGCACCTGGAACCCTTGCGTTTCTCCATGGAACGGATAAATAATCTGCAAATTTACTGTGTACAGTCTTTCTTCTTATACTTTTAATAAAACTGTAATTGAATTCAATCCCTGTTAATCTGAAGACCTCAGCATACTATTTATGGCTATGTCATCCTTTAATTGGTTCATGTTATTAATACATACCTGAAGACATACATATATTCACTGTGTCGTCTTTTGTTCTAAGAAGATCGGTGTCTGCAATCATACTACATTTTTTTATTTGGTTTTTTAGTTCACCTGGCCTAGAAGGCCAAGTGAGCTTTTCTCATCACTTGGAGTCCGTCGTCCGTCGTCGTCCGTCGTCGTCCGCTAATTTTTACAAAAATCTTCTCCTCTGAAACTACTGGGCCAAATTTAACCAAACTTGGCCACAATCATTACTAGGGTATCTAGTTTTGAAAATGTGTCCGATGACCCTGCCTGCCAACCAACATAGCCGCCTAGGCTTAAAATGGAACATAAGGGTAAAATGTAGATTTTGGCTTATATCTCTGAAACGGAAGCATTTAGAGCAAATCTGACAGAAATAAAATTGTTAATCAGGTCAAGATCTTTCTGCCCATAAATTTTCAGACGAATCAGACAACCCGTTGTTGGGTTGCTGCCCCTGAATTGGTAATTTTAAGAAAATTATGCAGTTTTTGGTTATTACCTTGAATACTATTATAAATAGAGATAAACTGTAAACAGTAATAATGTTCAGCAAACTAAGATCTACAAATATGTCAACATGACCAAACTGGTCAATTGACCCCTTAAGGTGTTATTGCCCTTTATAGTCAATTTTTAACAATTTTTCGTAAATTTTTGTAATCTTTTACAAAAATCTTCTCCTCTGAAACTACTATGACAAATTTAACCAAACTTGGACACAATCATCAATAGGGTATCTAGTTCAATAAATGTGTCCAATGACCCTGCCTGGCAACCAACATGGCCGACATGGCTAAAAATAGAACATAGGGGTAAAATGCAGTTTTTGGCTTAAATCTCTGAAACTAAAGCATTTCGAGCAAATCTGACAATAGGTAAAATGTTTATCAGGTTAAGATCTATCTGCCCTGAAATTTTCAGAGGAATCAGACAATCTATTGTTGGGTTGCTGCCCCTGAATTGGTAATTTTAAGTAAATTTTGCAGTTTTTTGTTATTATCTTGAATATTATTATAGATAGAGATAAACTGTAAACAGCAATAATCTTCAGCAAACTAAGATCTACAAATAAGTTAACATGAACAAAATTGTTAATTCCCTCCTTGCGGTAAAAAGAGTTATCGGTCCTGACAGTAGGTATAAGACATTTCCGGTTTGAAAGTTTGGGGTCGGTAATCTTTTAGATAAAAACAAACCTCTTGCCGACGTAAATGCTAAAGCGACCGTCGAGGACTTTCTCACTTTGAAAAAAAACAGATTTAGTTGTATTTCTCAGAAAATCTAATGAAAAAGTCTCTGGAAATAAGAGGGAGCTGGCTTTACGAGCCTACAATATCAATCAAATCATGCATGGGGCAGCTGTATCCACTAACGATACAAATACTAGTACCGATACAACTTTGGATGAAACCGTACCCCAGACAAATGAACTGAATACTGGTTGGACCAGTAATGAAAATCTTTACCCCAAAATAAGCTACAAAGATGTTGAATCGTATTTGATAAATAGTCACCATCGGACGGAAGATCAAGAAAATATGCAATGCTATAGGCAATTCATTAGGGGATATAACTTTTTCAAAGAAAATTATATCCACGATATTATGGTTAATTCAATTGATGGTGGATCAAAATTTTGCTATATACGTTCAAAATGCTTCCCTTCAATGAAACAGGGAACATACATTCAGTGGCTGTTAATGACAAAGGACAAGCCTTTCTTTATATCAAAAGCAAGCTGCACTTGTCCTGCTGGGTAATTTTGTTTTTAACTCGTTAACAGTTTAGTAAACTTAGATTACTTATCCTAAATATACAACTTACCTATAAAAAATACATATAAAACAAATAACATGGTATACATAATCTTTATTAAAATGAACAAATATGATGTAATTTAAAAATATCACTACAGGGAAAAGAAATCAGAACAGCAACACGGAAAAAAGTATATAGTTTGACACATTACCACCTGAACATCCAAATCAGTTAGCGGTTGAGTTGATATTTCAACAGTGTTTTCTAGAAACACTCATGTTCATATATTACTTATTCTTTACAGATCGCCTGCCAATAACTTCTCACCATGAAAACAATATTTGAATGGTTTACTCCTACTCAGTAATTGGTTATCCCCACCAGAAAACGATATAAAATTTTCAAACATTATTGAACCTGCAAGCGACTCAAAAGTTAACCGTGATCTCTAAAACGACCTGCTTAAAAATTTTCTTTTTAACGTGTATGCACTGCAATGAAACAAAAAAGAGACGTCCATAGACACGTCTAGTTCAAGATGGTTAAAAATCTAGCTTAGATATTATTGTTTCAACTTAGGATCATTTATAGAGACTTCAAATAAAATTACTTACATTTCTCGAGTTGCATAATGGTGACCTTTCGTCGAAACAGAGCAACGAAATTTGTAAAGAGACTATAGTCTTCAAAATTCTTTCACACTGCATTCCGTTTAAAACATAGCCCATAGATGTTGTTGGTAACTGTTATAAGTACTTTTTGTTTATTATTTCTATTTACACGAATAAGACGTTGACTATTAATTATTTTGCCATGCCTTTCGTAGTTTACAATACGTTGCGGGGTTGCTTATAGTTGAAGGTTGTACAGTTACTTTAAAGTTACTTACATATACAACATGTCTCAGGTGGAAAGTTGGCTTCTTTTGCAATTATAACATGACTAACCTTTTATAGGATGACATCTACATTTTAATTATAAAATTCGATCTAATTGAAATAAATCCTTTAATTGTTCTTGTTCTGATATGTCGCTCGGGTGAATAAAATTGTGTGACAATACTAACCAGATGTAGATTTATTTGTTGGAATGTGGTAGAATTGATGCGCATTTCTCCTAAAAACAGGATGTTGTTTTGTTGCAACTGTTTAAAGTAAACTCTGATAATTAAAAATGGATTAAAGGAGACATTTGCTGTGTTGTTTGTGTAATGTTTCAAGGATTTGACTTGTAAACTATAAATTTTATTAGTTTTACATTTTTTTGTACATTTTGCTGAAATAGAACGCTAGTCCTGAAGATGTGAATATAAAATTCAATCTTTTTAAGAATAGCAGTATAATTTCAACATGTTTTCAATCTTTCCGTGAAGTTTTGGGGGATCTGGACCGTGATAATTATCATGGTTGGTTGCTTAACGTCCAGTGGCAGGTTAAATGCATATAATCATCAAAAAAAAATTATTCCAGCAGCGCCTGCATACGGAGTATATTTCTCCCAATTGATACAATATTCCCGGGCTTGTATTTTCTATCATGATTTCCTTGATAGAGGATTGCTGCTCACAAGGAAGCTATTAAACCAAGAGTTCCAAATGGTGAAGTTGAAATCATCCCTTCGTAAATTTTACGGACGCCATCACGAGTTGGTTGACCGTTATGGAATAACCGTTTCACAGATGACATCAGATATGTTCCTTATGTCGTAACTACAATACCCTTCCCTTTTCACGAATGTTACCTACCAAATTAGACTATTAACCGGATTTGTAATAACATAAGCAACACGACGGGTGCCACATGTGGAGCAGGATCTGCTTACCCTTCCGGAGCACCTGAGATCACCCCCAGTTTTTGGTGGAGTTCGTGTTGCTTAGTCTTTAGTTTTCTATGTTGTGTCATCTGTACTATTGTTTGTCTGTTTGTTTTTTTTATTTTTGGCCATGGCGTTGTCAGTTTGCTTTCGATCCATGAGTTTGACTGTCCGTCTGGTATCTTTCGTCCCTCTTTTATACTAGCCCTGCTTTATACTAGACCGAAACGATCAGTCGGATTTTATGTGCTAGATCATAAGGTAACAGTTTGCAGGAAGACATGTCACCCTACCCAGGTTTATTATTAATTCTGACTCTGGGTCGACCAATTTTTGTTCTTACTCCCTAATGCTGCTAAGCGGAGAAGCAGCCAATTAAAATACAATTTCCAAGTCTTTGGTTTGACCTGGTCTTGGTTGGAACCTACGACCTCCAACACGAGGCATAGATCTGGATTGAAAAAAAAATGTAGGAGTTGAATACACAAAGCATGTATATATACAGCGTCGACTCTGTGCAAACCAATATACTGACAATTAAAAAATCTTGTTTTTTATTTTTTATTTAAAGAAACCCTTAGTTAAAATTGAAAACATACTAAATTCATTCAACTTGTAAAATATTGAAAGATGTGGTATGACTGCCAACTATGTGTTTCTCAGTTTTATCACACACCGAGACCAAAGGGAGTTAATTTAAGCAACTTAATGTCAATGAACAGCCATCAACAAGGAGCAAAAGCCCATTGCAAAGCTAGCTATGAAAGGTCCCAAAATGACAAGACTAAAGGATATTCATATTTGGTTGGTTTTTTTTACAGATTAGGTGAGGGATGCACACATATTTCTGGACTCCTTTTTACCCTTGAAGCATATGCAAATAAATTTAAAGATGTTCCATGTACCTCTAAGGACTGCAATTGGAACAAAGGTGGCAAACGAAAAAAAGAACCTCAAGTGGTGTCGGGTATCAAATTCAAAAAAATTAAATATGGCGAGGAGTCCTGCGGTGCAGCAAACAAAAAACAAATTCAACTTAAACAAACAGATGATTTCTTTACTTCTTTCACTTCCAAACTTGGTAACATAAATTTTAATCCAGTTTTATTTGATTTACTACCACCTGAGAACACAACTTATGACATTAGTGACAATTTAAATGTAACACATTTTGAGGAAGTTAGTACCTCAGAGTTTATTGAGCATGAATCTGACAAATAATAGACATTCTATCACATGTTTAATAAGAACAAATTGTTGATGAGAATTATCTTATTGATATGCTTTCTAATCTTCCATCTACCGTTAGTGATGAAACTGAGACACGCACAGTTGGACAA